CCGCTCTTCTTCTTCATCTTCATCCTCATTGAATGAATAAGCTACATCCTTAACAGCTTTAGAACTTGATTGTGTCAATACTTCTGGGGCATCTTCACGGACAATAACAGTATCTGCTAACAACACTGAAAATTTATGGGTCTTTGGGTTCTTCGTCTCTGCTTGCAAGTTCTGAAAACCTAGTGACACGTTGAAGACCATGCCTGGTCTAAAAAATCGGTCATTTTTTGCATTAAGATTAAGCCCCGACTCGCGAAACTCGAGACCAATTCCAGTTCCTGCAGTTTTGGTTAAGCGTGGAGCCAATTCAGGGGCATCCTTTTCAACCACTGAAAGAGCAGCTTGATATGCAGTGCTTATCTTATTACCTGATTTTAGAGTACTGATTGCTGCTTCTTGGGCTCTAAGGAGAACCCCATAAGCCTTGCTCTGCACAGCGTTCGCATCGATTAGAAAGGTTCGAGCGACATTTGAGCAGTAGCCGTTGTAGCGGGACCCCACAGCACATATTATCACACTAGTAGAGTCATAGCAAAGATTCTCGTCATTGCTCGAAGCACTTGGTTTCAGATCAAAATCTCCTCCACTTTGGAAGATCGGTGGATAACAAATATCAACATTCTCGGCCTTGAGCTTCACCTTGATTTTTGCAGGTTCTAGTACAGCCTTCTCTGTCTCATTCATCAATGAAGAATGAGACACCTTTTTCTCCTCGTCAATGACCTTTTCAAGCTTGGGGACAACAAAACTCCTCATGACTGATGATGTCAAGAACGCAGCTCTTTTGACATTCGTAAGTTCGGTGTTGTCTTTTACGGCAAACACGTCTGAAAACCCATTTGTTACATCAATTAGCTGAAAACTTGCATCCTTCAACTTTTCATCCCATAACTCTAGAAGTTTCCCTTCAGGCGCCTCTCTTGCTATGTATCCAACAACAGGAGCTTCATTACCACTTGACTTCGACTGAGCACTGACTGCACGGAATAAGCTCTCCATTAGTCCTGCCCCATCATCGTTCTTGGGCTTCACATGCATTATGAATTCGACACCCACTGCCTCTTTGGCCGATTTTTTCACCACATCAAGCAGAGAGGCTTTCTTCTGGCTGCACATGACATGAATCTGCTTTTTCATGAAAACCATGATCGTCTCGGGGAACTCATAGCCTACCAACCAGACATGGAGCGCTGACGATTTCAGGTACCGAAGATCCTCCGAAGTTGGGGGAGTTGCTATAGCAAGCACATCAGAATTACCCCACAAGTCACTTTTGTGCTCATTCCAGTGTGAGTATAGCGTTATCAACCGCTTACTAAAGTTTTCCAGATTGATGGCATAAGGATTGTTGGACCCTGTGCTGGAACCCGACCCTTTCCCATTTGCAGATTTTGCAGTAACATTCCGATTATCCGCCATAGACGGTAGCTCAGATTAAGATTCAGAGATCTTGAGAATTCAGCCACTTGAGAATGAAGATCAGCATAAACTGAGAAAAATAATTATTAGTTGGCCACTTCTCTCCATATAATAATCTCTATTTTTTTGTCACAAAAAAAAAATTGTTACATATATGATTGTCTCAACTAAAATTGATCTCATTATCTCCAAAGAAACTAAGTATTTTTTATTTTTATTATTATTATTATTTATTTTATTTTATTTTTTGAGATAAGGAACTCAGGAGGATTCTTAATGGTAGAGCGTTGAGTAGCTCAAAGTCAGGAATCATAACAAAATCATATCAATTTCTTCGTGTTAATTTCAGAAAGTTGAACAAAAACCAACCCAATAGAGAAAATATTGTTGATTCCAATTAGTTCCAATATCCGATCCACAAAACACAAAATACACAAAAATGAACTTACATTTCTTCTCCTGCTCTGCAGCAAAAGCTCTGTACCTACGGAAACAATTATAATAAAAACATTAATTTCTAATTGTACGAGAAAACTTGTTTTGAACGTTCTAGAATCCTACTTTGCTAGAGATCACAAATTGAAAAAGCAATTCTTAACCAATATTTTTTTAGTTTCATGAAAAGAATCTCGAGATCTTCCACTCCTAGTACAGAAGGAAATGAACAGTGGTTAGCCTTTTTTTCCCCCCCCTTCTTTTGAATATCAAATCTACAAGAAAAGAAAAGCGAAAAAAAGAAGAAGAGAGAATCGGATTGAATCTTTGCATTTACCATATCCCGATGAAGACGTTAGAAGATCGATCATATGATCAAATGGGTCTCTGGAATAAAGAGAAAAAACAGAGTAGATTGATCGAGCTTTAATTTTGGCCCGAAAATCTACATAATCTGGACAGAACAAACGAACCCACTTCACGAAATTGAAGACAATTCAAGCATTAAGTGATCTTTCTGAGGAGAATCGGACGGAAGATTAGTGTGATCAAACTAATCTCTGAAACTGATACAGAAAAAAGAAAGAAAAGGGATTGAGTTATAATTGACGGATATTATGTTTTCATCAAAATCATCGGCTTGGAGAGAGTTGAATCAATGGAAGAAGATTTGGAAGATGAAATGAGAGAGAAGGAAGCTAGCAAAGCAAAGGCAGCAACTTGACTGGTTGACCCTCTACTATCATCCTGGTTTCTTTTCCATTGTTGCTATTATTATTTGTTTTCTTTTGTGCGTTGTTTTTTTTTGGTAGGATTTTTGGAACTGGGTTTATAAATTACAAATCCCGCAAAAAAAAAAAAAAACCTTCATCTTGTTTCTTATTTTTATGAAATTACGGGTGCGTTTGGAATTAATTTTAAAATAATTTTATTTTTTTATGACGTTTTTATTTTTGTTTTAAAATTATTTTTAAAAATACGTTTAGTAGTTTTATTTAGAGATTGATTTCAGTTTAAAAAAAACTGAAACTCCATTTGGTGATTTAATTTTTGAAAACATGTAATAATATTTAAAATAATAATATATTAAATAAATAATATTATTAAATATATTAAATAACAATATATTAAATAAATAATATTATTAAATATTAAATATATTAAATAACAATATATTAAATAAATAATATTATTAAATATATTAAATAATAATATATATTAAATAAATATATTAAATAAACGTGATTATATATACATGAAAACTGCAGAGGAGAGAGTCGGAGAAACGGTGGTGGGCAGTCGGAGAAGATGGTGGTGGGCCAGTCGGAGAGGAGCGTAGACGGTGGGTTTTCACCGGATAGCCTAGGCCTGCGTCTTCTTCGGCCGAGTCTTCATGTGGTGGGCCGTCGCCTTCTTGTTGGGCCGAGACGAGTACTCTATCACCGCCGGCCCATCGCCACCGCTGTTCCACGGGGCTGACTTCCTCGCGCCGACAATCGACATCAGAGCAGATGGGATCCGTACTGCCATGATTTGAGCTCCGAAGAAAGTAGTCGGAGAAGAGAGAGATGAATGAAGGGAGAAAATGAAAAGGAAAATGAAAAACGGATTTAATCCGTTTTCAGATTTTCAGAAAACGACAAAAACATTTTTGTTTTTGGTTTTTAAAAAATTTTACACCAAACGCATTTTACGTACGCGTTTTCATTTTTTAGTCTCAAAAAACGTGAAAAATGGAAATGAAAACAAAAACAAACAGGGCCTACATGTTGTTTATTATATAGTAGAGTTAATTGTCGTTTACGAACTGGTTTTACTTAGGACTCATTTTGCTGATTCGAGTTTTTAATTTGAGTTGAGATGTAATTTTACGTGAGAGTTTTTTATTGTAGTAAACAAGTTAGATATGATTGTTTCTAAGAGCTTTTTACTGTAAGAAAACTCAAATTTATAAAATGAACGAGACCTTATATATCATTAGAAAATATCTCTAAGATATTAACTGTTTTTTTTTTAAAGCTTTCTTCCAGTAAAATCAATTTCTTAATCGAAATTTTAATTCTAGGAAATGTCATCTTTTTATTTGTATGAACTGTTGTTTTACTTAAAATTCTAGAATTAAATTTATAAGAAATCAATGATTAAATTCAAATGATTATGTTAGTATGCGTATGTAACAATTCCATCCGATATAAATAGAGGAACAACACTCTTCATAAAGGAGATTACGCCATTTTACTTACTATTACTTTGCAGAAATTCCTTTAGAAACATTGTATTCGAACAACTTTGTAAGCCTCAGATTGAATATAGTGAACAACCCAATAAATTACATAGCCTATTCAATGGTGAATCATTGTAATTTCTAGTTTAGTTATTTACTTTCTAGTTTAGTTATTACTTTCTAGTTTAGTTATTTACTTTATGCACTAAATTCATTTCATGGTTATATGTCATGTCATTTTTTATCTTAATTCTAAATAGTTGATGATGTTGAAGATAATAACAATGGTCAATGATCCTTAATTTGAATCACTATAGTTTTATTAACTGTTTTAATATATTTTTTGATTGATCGTAGATCGCTACGTCTACAACCACCACCGGAAAAGGAAACGCTACTCATCTCCATCGTGAAAAATCACATCTCCAAAACTTGGCTTGAGATCATACGATCTCGGAGACGACTACGATCGCAGTTTGTGATCTTAGAGTGAGGTCGCCATCCGTCAACAAGAGCGAGAGGATAATTGACGGGAGAGTGTGAGGGAGATCAAGAGAGGAGAACTGTAAGAGGAGAAAGATAGGGAAGAGTGAGAAATGGGTAGTGTAGTGGAGAGAGTGGAATAAAAAAGCTGAATGGTATATTTGGTAGAACATGCACTAAAAACTTTTGTTGTTTCTAAAAAGTGTTGTTAACTTAGACCTCGTTCATTTCACCGATTTGAGTTTTTAATTTTTACCAATTTGAGTTTTCAATTTTAATTTTGCTACAGTTAAAAACTCTCATAAAAAGTCATATTTAACTTTTTCTGCTACATTAAAAAGCTCTCATATAAAATCACATCTCAGCTCAAATTGAAAATTCGAATCAACGAACTGAACGAGGCCTTAACATGTTTAAAAAATGTGCTATTATCTTCCAAAAATAAGTTCCCAAATTATGTTATAAGCTGCATTTACTCTATATGTAATTACGTCTGGAATCTCAATACTGTCTTTTATAATAAATTTACAAAGCCCAAGTTCAAGCTAATGTTACTTTGGGGTGAAATGAGACAAATAAAATTTAAAAGTGCATAAGTCTGAATTTTTACATCTTACTCTTGATTAACATATTTTTAGTTAAATAATTATATTAATATATGAGTATCAATAAAGAGTAACGAGTAAAAATTCAAACTCACGCACTATTAGGGGTAAGTTCAACAATTTTCTCAATACACCTTTACTTTTTCGGGTCCAACATATTTCCATTCTCAGTAGAATAGAACCCTAGTCAGTAATCAATGAGAAAATGAAGTAAACAACATATTTATAGAAAATTATTGAAATAAATAACATATTTTAAAACTATTTAGAATAAATAACAGTTTACACGTAGTGTAAACATTTCATTTATGATTAGAAAATATTTTTCTCCATATAAATTTTCTTTAAGGACCAATAAAAAGATTTTATTTTCACGTAAATGAAATTTTTTTACCAGTAACAAAGGAATCATTTATATAATAAACTGTTTGTTGGGGCTCTTTTGGCGAGGGCCTGTCGACGTGGAAGGTAGAGGACTTGTGGTCCCTTTTGGTTTGTGATGACTGTGCTTTTGCCGATCTGACGAGGTCGAAGAGCTACTAAGGGCGCTTCCTAGCGTCGATTGTGGCCGAGAGGATAATGTTAGCCCCGGCTGAGTTAGGCTAAACTCGGATGACCCTAAGGACAACGGTATTGATTAACGCCCAAAAGTGATATTCACAAGCGGTCAATTGTAGCACAGAAGGGCGGTCGTATCCACAGAGAGATAACAAAATAACAAGAAAGACTAATAGAATAAGAGCGTTCAAGAAAATTGAATTAAGGAAAAATGAGAATTTTTGAGATTTTTGTTGCAAATAAAATAAAAAGGAGAAAAGATTTGTGTTGAAGAAAACGGTAAGGTGTCGAGAATCCCTAATGCTTCGTTCACCAATTTCAGTTTTGATTCACAAAATAAAAGAACTGAATAGATTAAATCTCTATGTTGACTCCGAAAATATTATTATTACAAGTTATCTAAAATCGACAATATATCAATATGACAATATTGCAGTAAAAGACAATTTGCAAAATAATTTGAATAACAAAACATTGCATGACAGAATTACATAAGAAAAGCGTGACTGAACTTATATAAAAATTAGCACACAATATTTTGAAAAGTAATAGAAAAATA